GAGTGTCGGCGGTTTTTGTGGCAAAAACCAACAGCCGGAGGGTAGAGGAATTACTTGAATAAAAATAACGAAATTATGCCAAGGCAGGACACCCAACTGGACTCGCCATTATCTAGCTATTCGCTGGTCATTAGTCAGGAGGAGTGAAACAAAAAGGACAAACAGAGGCCATGGCTTAGGGGGAGGGTTCATGGCCCTCCTATATAATAAAAATCTCATATTTTATTCAAATTGGTAATGCGAGTAGAGGAATACTCCGCCGTCCTGCGGTGAAGTGGGGAAATGCAAAGTGAAACCAACGCAACGCAATAATGCCACTGGGAAAAGAGGATATTCAATGATAGAAAGAGAGGGGTCCATAAATACTGAAAGAGACAGACAGTTGTCTACAGCAGATTCTAGAATTTGTCATTTGCATTTCATTGGCATTCATTTATGTGACTACAGATGTCTTTTCTTTTATTTACAGAGATGTTTTTTAATGTTTAAAAGAAAGTAAATGTATATAGATAGAAATTTAATATTTAAAATTAAAATTTAAATCATTTAGATTTACTTTTATATAAATATATTTTAAAATATAAGCAATTGTAACTTTTAGTTGAAGTTTCTTGTCTTTTTTTGTTAATAACTTGAAAATGTCTCTAAAAACTTGCTATATACTTTCTATGCATAGAATTGAAAATTTGCATAGAAAATTGAATTTCCTGCCATCCTACTGGAGTGCAACACAATGGAAGTCTCTCGGCTTTTCTGCAGAAAAGCCACAACCCCCCATTGTTTGGAGGCATTATTCCGTCACTCACACCCTAACTAGCCAGCCCCCCTTACTCTACGCACCTGCTGTTGGCCTCGCTAAGCGGCTTTCATTTTGCAGTTCAAGAATCGGCTGCTACGCCCTTGTATCTCGCTGCCCTTTCCCCTCCTCAGAGGCCTTAAGCTGATTTCCCGTTATTTCCGATTTTGGCGCCCAAGCGTGGGGCTTTTCAATTTCATTTCTCGTCATTCTCCCCCACAGCCGACCGGGTCAGAGTTCATTTCATGGGACCGACGACAAAGTGCATTAAACTCATTTGCCAAACGGCTTTCAATTATAATTTTTGTTAATAATTCATTAGCACAATGTGTTGCCATCGTTGCCGAAAATGCAGTCACAGTCTCATACCTCAGTGCGGGTACTGGTGTCCTGGCAACTCTCGGTTCCTGCCAGCCATCATCATCATTCTCTTTCCACAAAAAAAAAAAATAGCGTTGCGTATACGCCATGTGTGACAAAAGCGATGCAGGATGGAGGTTGAAAAATGAAAGCTGTCATAAAAGTTTTCACTCTGTTGATGGAAGTTGATGGATTTTATGGGAATATTATGGTCTTATATTGGCTGCTTTTTAGAGTGCACTCTACTACACTGATGGTTGTCTTTGAAAAAAAAGTTAATTAAAAAATAGATATATATTTTAATAGTTTATAGGAATAGTTTTCATTAAGGTATTACCAATGGCAGCTTAAAGCCTTGTAAACACTTCAATAAATACAATATCCTGTGGCTCCTGCTGTTTCCTGTTGGCTCTTGGCTTGCCATGTGGTTGCTAATATCATTTGGGATGCGGATGCGGAAAGCAAAAGGACTCATAGGACTCACTGGACTCGTCCTCTTTGGCAGCTGCCCATCCTGCGGCTGTCTGCATTCCCTTATCGCCTCATCAGCTGGCTAACTGACTGACTCTGTGTTGGCCTGTTGTTGATGGCCATTTTTCTCCCTCAGTCCTGGACCAACTACCTGCCCCATGTCCTTGCCCATAGAAAGGAGAGAGCTCTTCTCATGGGTGATAAATAAAAACTGTCTGCGCCTATGTGGCCACTGTGTCTGTGTTTTATTTTTTTCGTACAACGTCTGACTTTTTGCCATGTAAGCTGAGATCCAAAAAAATACATATATATATATATATCAAGAGAGAGGGAGGGGGATTGGTGGTCTATACCATCAGCCTTATAAAGGGTGACATTGAAACACATGCCAAACAACAGAAAGCTGCAGAGAGAAAATTCGAAAAGCCGCAACCGAAAAAATTCAATTTAACTGTGTTCCGCTTTCGATTTCGCCCCTTCCACTGCCCCGCTGCTGTGTCCTGTCGATGAGGACATGGCTGGGGGGGCGCCAGCTTAACAAGTTCATTTCCATGAATTCATAAATCACAAAGCAGCCAGAAAGCAAGGCGTCAATAAAGCATTCACCAAAAAATAGTTCCACAACCAACAAAAAAAAAAAAAAAAGGAAACAAAACAAAGGATTTTCGGTTTCAGTTCAAGGATCAATAGGATATATGTGCTATTGGCCAAAATTCAAAATCAATTCAATGAAAATATATTGCCATTTTGGCACAAAAGAGGGATTTTAAATGTCGAAAGTAAGGGATTAGTTTATAAACCATGTAAAATATACTTCCATATACTATTTAAAGAAAACTTATTCCTCGATTAGTTTTGGGCCGTTAAAGGACCATCGCTCATTAGACAGGTGGCTGGCAAAAGTGCTAATGATGTCCTGCCTTTCATAATCCGCCCCTCACAGATCTCAAATAGAGACCCCAGCTGTTGAACACGCCCCCCTACTGATTTCCACCTTTTTTTTCCAACATTTTCGTCCATCAAGCATCGACATTTGCTGCTAATTACATTCTGTGGTCGGCATAACAAATCCCCCCAAACAAGGATATACATGGCATGGATGGAAATCTGAAACATACGCACATGCGACCCTATATATATGATGGATACAAGGGGGTAGCACCACAACAAACAAACAGAAAAAAAATCAAGAAAGAAGTACTCCGCTACTGGGGTGTAATTAAAATACCAGGCTGGCATGGAATTGGAATGGATGGCCAGTTGTTGCAGCCACACATGTTACGCCACAAAACGTTGCAACATGAGGGCCACCTCCAGTCCAGTTCGAAGCATATTGATTGATTTTTAATTACAAACATTTACACATAAAGCGATCGAAACGAGGGGTTCCAACTTCGATTTCAATTAAATGCTTGCCATACCCCCCCTTTCTTTTTTATTAAACGCATAAACAATGGCGACGAGTGGTGTCCTGCATCCTTAATGGGGATTTAAGGAGTCTTCGTCGGGCATAGCATTTGCTGTATAATTGAGGCAACCAATGGCACTCCTGCCGTTGACGCATTCAATTAGCAAAAAAAAAAGGAGGCACATACAATTTTAAAGGATATGGCGGAGAAGAAGGTGTCCTTGATCGGAAAGGAAGGAAGGAAGCACTCACTGAAAGCCGACAGCAAGCAACACAATGCAAAAGTTGCCGCTAAACTTTTTTGTCTTTCAGGGAAGGTCTATGACACAGAAGGGATTTTTTTTAATTTTAGTTTTATTTTAAGTTCCTAGAAGTTTGAATATTTGCCTTAATAAACAGGATAATATTAATTTTAAAGTTATAAAGGGTCATAGAAAGTTTAAGAAGGTAGGTTTAAAACTAATCAGAAAAAATATAATAAAACTTTTTAGAATTAAAGTATATCCTTGTAGTCTTCAATTATTTAACCCCAAAAATCTCTACAAAATTTCTTTCTCTGTAAAAAAAGGGGGAAAAGCTGGCAAGTATGAGAGAAAAAGGTTGCATGTGAAACCCAACTCGTTGCAATCAATGAGCCATTGTTACAACGCGTTCGACAATTGAAAATTGCAGAAATGGCAGCCATGAACAAAAAACCAGAGAATTCCAAAAGATTTTCAGACAAAAAAAAGGAAAAATAAATCTTAAATATTTAAATTTGATAAACCATTAACTATAAAGTTCAGCTGCCAGCTTTGTTTAAATCAAAGGCCTTCAGAATGCAAAGCTTTAATGAGTTTCCCTTCCAATTGAAAAATACGTGATAATTGCTGGCTCAGTCTACCATTCTCAGAGGACTATTGCCTTATTGAATCTGTACAATTTGTTGGACATTCCATTCTGGTCTCGCCACCCTGGTACTACATCCTCTTTGGTCCTGTTCTCTTGGCCATTACCTGTTCCAGCTACCAGCTGCCTCGCTCTTCCTCTCTGGCCAGTAATTTCAATTGTCTATGCAAAAAGGCTTTGAATCACAAAATGGTCAAGCCCAGTCTTGGCCAGACTAAGAGCTAGTACACTGGGAGAATAAGAGATGGTTCTTTATAGTTATAGTTATAGTTCACAAGTGCCGGGTATTTATATTTTTAAAATAGCTTTTATTAAGCTTTTAACTATTATTAAGTAAAAAATGTTCTAAGAACCCCTCATTTTCTTCACGTGCCTTGGGCCACAACCTGGTCCATCTACAGTCCAGCTTCAGCTCCAACTCCTGGAGTTTTTTTTGCTCCCCGACTTGGCTTTTGTCTCTTGTCGCCATTTGTGTCCTGGCGCTCGTTTCTCATCCCTCAAACACCTTGTCGCCCCCACCCTATGTCCTCCATATAGACCATCCCCAGACCCAGACCTTGTTCTCTCCGTGGCTTTTGTCTGCCATTTGCTGCTCGAGCAAGATAAATTTCAATGAATTTGCAAACGCAGCAGAGTCCTGTTTCTAGTCCTGGCCATGGTACTGGTCCTGGTCCTCGTCCTGGTCGTGGCTACATTTCTTTGTTTATCTTTATACATTTACAATTAAAAGGGCTTGGCATTGTCCTGTCCTGTCGTAATATTAATGAATCTTCTCCCACCGCTATCCTGCGAATGGAATCGCAGGACATGGTGGCCACTGGTCGTTAATTGATTGCAATTTGTATATGTAAATGAACATCCCACATCCCTATACACACATCCCTATACACATCCTTGCACAAATTATACCATTTTTTCTAGCCGTGTGCGATTGTTTTCATTGTTGTGCAAATTTTTGGTGCGGTCACCAGTGTGTTTGCTGATTTATCTCCACCCCTTAACTGCCCCCCGGTGGGGACACCAAATTGTCTCATTAAGCTAAATCAATAAATTAATAATTATCGCTAGGACACTCACCCCCTCCTCTTTGCCCTGCAGCAGATGCACGGCACCGGATCGCTGGAGTCCGGGCAGAAACCACATCGGATGGGTCAACAGCAGTCGCTCCACTAGGCCCAAATCACAGGGCGGGGAATTGTCACTGGAGGTGTCACGGCTGCTCTCCTCGCCGCCCTCGTCCTCTGCCTCGACTGGATCCTCGTCCAAACAGACACCTCCATGTTCGTCTCCATCATCGCTGGATGTTTCGCCCTCGGCCAGGATGCCGCCCTCCGAACTGGACACTAAAGATGTGCGTGACTGCAAAAATATAGAGTAGTTTTGATTTAAATGGATGTCTTTTTTGAAGAATTTTAAGAACCAATATCATAAACCCTCTAACTAGCCGCTGGCACTACACCAAATAGCCCTTAACTTGGCCAACTACTAGTATGGCCCGAAATGCCAGAAACTCTAAGCACTTGACACATTGCCGCGGGGGCTCTTTGGCTCGGTGCTGAGTGCGATTCCGTGTCTAAAAATCTTTTCAAAAGCTGGCAACAGGAGCTCCACTTAAAGGCTGGCCCCAAGGCCTAGTCGGAAATTTTCCAAAAAAAAAAAAGATACAAAAATGGAACAACATCAGCCTCAACGCGAGTTGTAGGCGTTTTTAATTGAAAATTGCCAAGGGCTTTGAAGTTTATTTCTATTTTTTTTTTGCGTAGCATACTTTTCAGCATCAAAAAGTGCAGGAAAGCACAGTTAAGGGGGGTTGCAAGTACACACACACACAGACAAGTGTCACCCTCTTGTCAGGCTGATGATGACGAGTCGAGGACGAGCAGGATGATGATGATGATGTTTGTCGAGTGTAAGCGATGCCAAAATTGATGCCAAGGCTTCAACTGCTTATGCAAATGTAAATGATTTGAAAATAAATAAGAGACAGATAGTAGACAGGAGATAGGAGATAGTAGATGGCAAGCAGGGGGTGTGATATTTAATATTTAGAGGAGTCATAGAGCAGGCCAATACCCTGGGGAAACTAATCAAAAGATAACTGCTCTGAGAATATGAATATTAGTGATGGGTAGAGAATTCTAATGGTTTAAGTTTCTTAAAAGAAACATACTAATAAAAATATTAATGAATATACTATAAAAATACTATAAAAATAGACCATAAAATACTATAAAAATTTACTATAAAAATACTCTATCAATGAAAGGTCTTCTTTCATAAACCTCTTTGTTTTTTTTAATTCCCCTCTTGTTTTTATTTGAACCACAAACTTAATTAAAACATTTTTAATAAAATTCCAAAACTCGACAACTCAGTTGGTTTAAATTATTGAAAATTCCATAGAGTTTCCCTAGCCTGGAGCATATTTAATTTAAAATGTTTGGTTTTCAGCGCCCCCTTCATTAGAGGAAGGTCATTGAGGCGTGTTTTTCTTTTTTTTTTGGGCTTTTGGATAAAAGTCGAGTGGTTTCCACTCCAGAAGGACATTTCCAACCACTTTTTTTTTCGACTCGTCACCACTAACAACGTTATGGATCCGTGTTACCTTTTTTTCGTGAAAAGCAAAGAAAAAAAAGGGTAGCACTGGTACTAATTGAGTTATTTCTGCCTCAGTGTTAAATTAGGTTGCCAGGCTCACCTTTTTTTCTTCTTCAAAGGATAGAGAGATGTTTAAACATTCCAATATATATATGTATATATACCACTTTTGTAAATTTGATTTACAGGCTGGTAGCGTATTTTAATTTTTGATGTCATTTATTAAACGGGTTGGCAGAGGGCGTGAAATGAAGATCAAGTTTCAAATGTCCTTTTTTTTCAAATGCCCTTTGAGACATTAATCATACGCCAAGTTGACAATGGCAGCCGGAAATGAAAACGAGAAGACGTTTTTTAAGACAGAAGGCAAAAAAAAACCAAAAAAAAAATGGTAAAAAGAGATCTCAAGACAAAAAAAAAAAAGGAAAAAACGCAATGAAATGGAAATGCAAAATGTTCGCCTGTTTATTTGCCAACCATTTAAGGAATAAGGACGATGGAAAAGCAGCCCCATCAGACACATGATGATGATGATGGCTGAAGCAGAACCCAGGACTCACAGGACATCGAAAGGAGGAAAAAAAAAGGGAAAATTGCGCAAATCCCTTGAAGAAATGTTTGAAATTTTTCAAAGCTCACAGCGGGCAGCCCCTCCGAGTGAAAATGTTGCGAAATTATGCTTAAATCAAAAATCACAGCAGCGGCAACAAGAAATGCTCACTGCAGGCTACCAAAACCAACAAAAAAAAATATACAAAAAAAAAGGCGGAAAGGACCAAAAAAGGCGTGGTCTAGGACAACCCTTGTACATGTTTTTGTTGCCTTTGTTGTTGGGATGCTGCGCATATTTTATACCCTGCATTAGGTCTTAAGTATTGCTTATTACACGAGCTGGCTGCGGTCCCTTTTTTATATTTTTTTTATTTTCTCTGTTTTTTTTTTTTTATTTACTGTCTCTGGCTTGCAAACTATTTGAAAGTTGTTGTCGAGTGTTTTGCCCCCAAGGGGGGGTCTCCATTCAGTTTGGGTTGTGGGGCTAATGTCTCACCATTTTCAGGGGAATTTAGAAACCCAATAAAAGTCATTTCAGCGGTCACTGTTTTAATGAGAGAGTCTCGTCTGTGTAATGGGATATGTCCTCTTTAAGGTTTTAAAGATGTAAAATAGGTAAAGATATTTAAAAATACTATAATTATATGGTATTTTTAATAAACCGTCCTATTTAAATGTTTAAAATAGAAACAGTCTACAAAAAAATTGAAGAAAAGCCAAAGTAATCCTTAAAGACATTATTAAAAAATGGATCCTTTTAAAACATCTAATATAAATAACAAATATTAAAGATATTGAATTCCCCAAAAAGGAAGACCATCTATAGCCTTCTCCCCTCATCTTGGCTGGCCCAGCCCCTCACTAATATGATACTTATTAAGTTAGCTGAGAAAACTTCCCCCTTGGCCATATTATAGCCATCTTTGGCCAGATTCCACTCACTCATTTGTTTACAGATTTACCAAAACATAAAAAACATAGACACACACATAGACAAGGACATGCAAGGATATCTAATAGCTTTATGTTGGGATAAGGCTGGAATTTTTTGCTTTTTTTTTGCAGGGTGCAAGCCAGGCGGCAGCCACCCCGAATAAAATAAAAGGCCAGGAATCGACTTGCGAGTAGCCCGGCTGCATTTTTGAGTGGAGCTCTTCCTCCTCCTACCGATCTGGTGGTTGGAGGGCAGGCAGTTGGAAATCTAAGCCGAGGGTTGGAAGCCAAAGCCAATGGTTCCACCACCTTAGATGCCCTTTTTCGTCTATACACTTGCATTAAATATTCAGGAGGATGTTTTGGACTTTAAAAAATTGAATAGAGAATGCAGGTAATTGAAGGTGGTTCTAAGGGGCTAGAGGTTTAAGTTAAAATATAATATTTAAAAATAAAAAAATAAATGAAAATAGATAGTAAAAGTATAAATACTATAGTTCGTTTATAGATAAAAGCTTTCAAAAGTCTATGATAACCGGTACTGTTCTTGTAATTTATTTCTTCAATGATTTTAGTATATGATACCCGGTACTTCTCATTTAAGAATTATAGTAGAATAGAATTCTATTGCCTTTAAGTTAATATTAAAAGCTTATATAAGTATATTATAATACCCCTTACTAATCACAATTTCTTGACGTGTAAACCAACTCATGTTTATTTCTCATATGAGTGGGCTCTGTTTGATTTTGGCTTCCTAAGGATCTCGTTATGTTGGGTAAACAGTCGCGACTTTAAATTCGCAGCCTGATTCGAGTCCTTCCGCGAGTCCTGTGTGCTTCCTGTTAGGAATGTGCGAGTGTATCTGACAATGCAACAATGGTCGGCCAAGCCAAGTCCGTAAAGTCTTGGCCGTAACACTTTCACGGTCGGCGGAAGCAGACAGAGACTGAGACCAAGACCTCTCGGTGGTTGGGAGGTTGGGAGGTTAGGTCTTATTTTTCAATACCAGAAGCCAGACTAAGACGACAGACGAAGAAAGTATTTTCGGCTTCCGTTCTGGCAGCTGTTGAAAATGAAAATCATTCGCAGGCCCCATCAGCCCCAAACCTCATTTTCACGTACCAGGCTGGCTGGCTACCCACCTTACGTCTTATTCTGTAAAATATTGGCAAACAATTGTCTGCCAGGGATCTGGGCTGTAGTTTGGGTTGTGTCTCTATTCTATCTATCTGGCCAATATTGGTGGAAATACATTTTTGGGCCAAAAAAAAAAATGCAAAGGCAATATAAAAATTCCCAGCCATTTGACAAAATGCTTCTTGTTTCGCTTTTCGACAAAAAAAAACTATCGTTTAATAAATTACAGAAACAGAGCTGTAGGGGAGAAGGTATATGTATATAGAGCAGTGGGGGGCAACTATTTATTGGATACCGCCCCAAAGCAGGCAATGAAAATCTCTCAAAGGCGACAAAAAAGGGACAAAAAATAGTTCTAAGGGGAGTATTATATTTAAGAAGGTTTAAAAATAATAAAAGATGTTATAGAAAGAAGGATTATTTATAAATAGAAATATATATAACAGACTTTTAGGCCTAAAATTTTAATAATACATGATACCTGGTACTTTAAAGAGTACTCATTACTTTGGTACTCTTTAAAATTAATAATTTTTATGAAAATATTTAAAATAAAATCCCAAACAGTCACCCATACTCCTTATTTCATTCTTTATATTATTTACAAATTATGATTATGTTATTAACTTTTTTTCTGACAAAAATCAAGATAATAATTCCCACATATACGACTTCAAAAGGGGGGTGTTTGTGAATTCATGTGGGTGGCCTGACAATCCCCCCATTAAGCTTCAGCTTCTCTTATCGGAAAAGCAGATTCCCGCAGCGTGAAATTAATTTCATAAAAACGATCCGGTATGAGTGTGGCCACCATTGGCCATTGTTCCTGGTTATAAAGCTGATTACGGAATCTGGCCAGCCCACTGTGCACAGTGGGGCTTTGTCTGTCAATACTCACGCCCCATACTCCAAAACCAGGATATAAAAATAAAAATAAAAATTGCTCTTTCAACTAATAGTTTGACAAAAGGTGAGGAGCGATAAGCTTTCATGCACGTGACTACCTTTTTCGTCCTTTCCCATGTACCTGTCTCTGTCTGTGCCAGGACCTACCTATTGTTTGTGTCTCTCTCTAAAGGATACACAGGAGAGCAAATTGCACTCGAGACTGAATTATTGCCTGACGCAGCACAGGAGCAACTAGCAACTAGCAACAAAAACCCTGCAAAGGACATGGATACCAGGATACCAAAATATAGAGGTGGTAGAAGGGGGGGGGAGGCATGCAGCATCCGTGGAAATAAAAGATAAATAGCAGCCACGTAAAATGTTGTTGAATGTTTTAAAAAACCATAAAAACCACAGAGAATTACATTTAATGGCAGCAACAGCAGCGGGTTGCCCCCAAAATGAAGGAGGGCCCGGGGGTAAGGGGATTGGGGGTGTGTGGTTGAACCGCAATGGCAACAGCAGACATTGCAACAAAAACAACAAGAACAACAGCAACTAGACATCACGAGAGAGAGTGTGCGTGACTCACGTGCGTGAGGGATACGTGTATGAGGTCCCTAGTCTAGCATTTAGTTTTCCTTTGGGTGGAAAGGACACTCTAAAAAAAAATATATATAAAAATAAGAGATAAAGGATATGAATATAAAAAGCTACTATTTAGAATAAATAAAGAAAGAGTTATGTAAAAAACAAAGGTTTAATGACTTTTTTATACTTTTAAGAGGCTGTTTTTAAAAGAAAGAGTTTGGAAGCCTCTTTTATCACCTCACTTTATACTTTACAACTCCCAAATTATTTCCTGTGTAAATTTATAAAAACCCTACAGCTGTTTCAGTTTTTTGGGCTAATTGAAGCGTCATGTTGTCGATTTGTTTGCCGACCAACCAACCATATATCCATCCATCCACTCATCCATCGGGCAAGCCAACAATCCATCCCAACAACCATGTAACCATCCATCTATTTGCCGCACTATGAATGCATAATTAACAAAACTCCGGAATGAAACTGAAAATTCGGCAACGTTGCACTTTCAGATGCAAAAATGGGGAAATATGGAAAACCGGAAGCTCAAAAAGGGAAACCGGAAAACGACGCCTGCATAATTAAGAAGTGAAAATGGCCAACAGTGCTTAAAAAGGATAAAGCCATAAGGATATACAGCAGAACTGTCCGAAAATGGCAAATGCAATAAACATTCAGCTCAAGTAATAAGCCAGAACATAAAATATGCCATTAAATGGCCGATGGACGATGGCGTCCGAAGACGTCCGGCCAGAGTGTCCTGCCAGGGAAACAGGACACTTGCTGTGCGGCCTGGCGGGCTAAGAGAGCCCGAGAGCTGTCAAAAAGTCAAAGCCATTAGGCACACACCAAAGAAGATGCTACACCAGTTGGGAGGAGTTAAATTTGAAACCAGAAGAGGGGAATGTCCTTTTTCAGAGTCACACAAAAACTGAGGCAAATGAACAACGAAATTTAAGCCCACACACTTCATTAGATTGCTGGGCTATGCGCTTTAAAAAGTTGGCTTGGCCGACCGCAGGACATGCACAGGACATGCTGGAGCGTCGCTCCATTGCCTTTGACAGGACACCACAGCGAGCCTGATTGCTGTGGTCGTCCCTTGCATGTCGCATGTTGCATGCAGCATGTCCTTTTCGGCCTTTCCACCTGACAATATCGGCAAACAACTCTCTTTCTCGCCCAAACAATAAAAAAGGACTAGCCGAGGGGAGACTGGGTCCTTGGCAAAGTTCCAGCCTTATTGCTTCAAATTTGTTTGCAAATTTTGCAAAAAAAAAATAAATAAAAACTGAAAGTATAATAGTTTCTCAACTAAAAGATACCTTTTGCTCTAAAAAGTGAGTTTATTTCTTAAAATTGGGCATTTATCTATAGTACTGGAAAATATTAAATTTACGATTTAAGAAGGATATGGGATAACCTTTCTTAAAGTCGAGCATTTATCTCTATTACTGGCTAATATTAAATTTAATATTTAAGAAAATCATATTAAAAATTCTTAAAATCATCCAAACTTTAATAAAATGTAAAACATCCCTTAGAAAATAAATCAAAGTAAACCATAAACCAAACTACCCCACAAAATCAGGATATAAGGCAACCGAACCAACACCAAAAACAAAAAAAAAAACAAGAAAATCCTGTGTATTTCAAAGGCAAGAATATCTAGGACGACGGCAAAGGACGAAAGGACTAACAACTGGACGTTTTAAGCCGCTGACAAAGCTTCACTAATACCGTTGCAATTAGCAGGACGTGTGCACCTGTGCAAACAGCTGCCACCGTTGAATGGATCAAGGGGAATGGCCGTCGGACGATGTCCACTCGACACAGGGAGATTAGAGACCCCAAAGTGGTTTATGGTTCAAAAGGAGGCAGGACCAGGCCCAGACCCAGAGCCCAGACAGGATAAAGCATAATGAAAGTAATAAAGTCCATAGAGGGGCACAGGCTCAAAAGTGGAACTCGAACTCAGACTCCTCGAGTCCTTTTACTGATCGGCGACTGGCGATAACAACTTGTGTATGCCAGACAGACAGGACAGCAGGACCTCTAGCTTTATAAATATTTATCTATTTTTTTTTTTTTTTTTAGGTGTATGGTAACATTCCTGTTGTACCGGAAAATATTGGCCAGGAGACAAACGGGCCACTTTCCAACGGGGCAGACACTTTTATCGCCATCGTTGGAATGTCCTTTGAATGCATCCTGTACACCCTGTTGCTGTTAGTGCTCTTGTTTTTATTGAATATTCATAAATGGCCAAAAAGGACTACAAGGACCGGGCCTCAGCTGTTTGGGCCTGTCTGTCTGGGCACTAGAATCAATATTTTATGACCAGCTACTGGCCAAAAAGAAGCTGCTGCCAGACCACAAGTGGTAGGGGTCCTAACAGGGTTAGAAACACTTGAAGAAAATAGGGTTATCTATAAGATATAGACTTTTGTTTTAGTTTTCTAAGACCTATATGGTTAGTGCCATTAAGAAGAGTTTGTGAGCAGTTCAACTCAATAGTACCAAAACTATCGAGACTAGGTTGCTTAGAAGGAGTTTCGCGGAAACGCGGACAAGCTTATAAAGCCTTTTCAGGTAATTCCAATCATTTAAAAAGCCTAGTCTTTGTAGTAACCAATTCTTTTTAGTTTATTTGTTTATCCATAAGCCTTATAACTCTAAAAGTTTAAAATATTTTTCCCAGTGCACAAAGTCACCCTGGCAAGTGCAATTGAAAGTGCAACGGACACACACAAATTAGAATGTGAAACACATGTCTGAGATGTTTGGCCACACACCTCCCAGACCTCCAGACCACCCCAGACCATTTGCTTATCCGAGAGGATTCAATTGCCTTGCCTTTGAAGAGCAAAATGAAATTTTTGGGCAAACGAATGAATGAATGGATGGATGGAAATTATGAAGCAATTAGAACGCATGACTGACTTACGGGTATTTGGGGAAAATGGTTTCTTAAATTGACGAGATGCGGCGGCATAGCAACGCATATCAAATTAACTAACAAATTGACTTGCCAAACTCTTTTTCCAAAATTACAAACCATTAGCTGAAAGGACCTCCCCAGGAGCAGCAAAACCAAAAGGATTCATAGTTATTAATGAAGAAATCCAAAAGGCCAAGGAAAAATGCCATCATTTGGCAAGCACGCACGAACAGCTCACAATAATGAAAATGGAAATGCATGGGGAAATGGAGAAAATCTTGGGAAATGCTTGGCCGGATGCGACGTGTATTGTAATTTTTATTTTCCCCGACACCCAGTGTCGAACCGAAAATCATTTGATGCGCACTTTATGGACCCGACAGAACATTATCATTATTATTAGGAGGACTCCATCCAGGACTCCCAGCTCCTGCCAAACACTTCCTTTTTCCGGCAACACGTAGCAAATTATGAATGAATGGAAGTCGAAAACATTGGCATTCCATACAGTGAAAAAAAAAACGTATTCTATAAGAGAAGAAGCCTTCTAATATTTAATATTTCTTTCCCTCTGTGTAGAGGCCTGGTAATTGGCACTTAGCTCGCTTAGCTGCCACATGTGGCAGGGTGAAGGCGACAAATGTCAGTGCCTCAAAGGAGTTGCAAGCTGAGAAAACTGCGCAATGAGCAGAGAAATGAATGAACCCCTGGAGTCTGGCTCGGGATTTGTTAAAGGAGGTGGTTGGTTGGGGGGGCTTCTGGGGTATGAAATTACTTCTTGGGGTTTTAGATTGCAGGGGTAAGTTTCTCATTAAATTGGGTTACCTTTCTCGATAATAAGTACTTTACATTTTAAATTGGTTTTATTTATAAATGAGAAACACAAGACAGGATCAAAGGAGATGGGAAGAAGGCCTTTAAAAGGGTTATATAAGCCATAGATATATAAGCCAAGTTTGGGGTTACACCGATACCAACTCCTTTAAAACCCCATACCTTTAACCCTATATTTCCCTATAACCCCCATAAACCTTTTCCCAAAAACTCACCTGACTTAGCTCATCCCGCGATCGACGCGAACACTTGGGCAGCAATGCCTCCATATCATCCTCGAAGGATCCGCCATGGGCCATGTCCACCACATCGTCCGTGTCCGGATCGAGGCTGCTGCTCCGGCGACTATCGCCGTTCGGATCCTGTATGTTTGGACTGTTTTGGCCAATGCCCGTTTGGCTATTATTGTTGTTGTTATTATTATTGTTGTTGTTGTTATTATTATTGAGATTGGATTGATTGGCCAAAACATTTAGTTTGGCATTATGGGGCTGTTGTTGAGATTTCTGCTGTGACTGCTGGCCGTTGTTGTTATTGTTGGTGGTGGCCTCTACGGAGGACGAGGCCTCAAAGGACGAGGGCGTGGCTCCCACAGAAGGCAGTGGTTCGCTTGTTCTATAAAAAAAATAAATTATAATTATTATAAATATTTTTTAAAGAGAGAGATTATACTATAAGCCTATTATTTGTCATAACAGCTAGTCCTTAATCTCTAAAATTGTCAGAGTCTTAAGGTCTCTAAAGTCCTTGGTCCTGGAACCATCGCTCAACCCTCCTCCCCCTCAGTCAGCTGTCAAAAGGTTAATTTGCGACATATTTCGGTTGCCCTTCTTCTCCATTTTTTTTTGGCCAAAAAACCGGCAGCGTCATGACGCCTCAAAGCGGCCAATTTTACGCCATTTTAACAATATTTCTACGACAGGACACAAATGTTATTAATGAATGGCTGCCGAAAAGGCTATAGAGAAAGAATAGAGAGAGAAAGAAAAAATAAAGTGCCAGACGGAAGTCCCGGCATGTGCTTCCGACTGCCGCCAAGGACATCACACTCCCCCCTCTTGAACAACGTTGATGGATCGAAAAAAAAAAAATAAAAGAAAAAAAAAAAAGTTCATAAACAAGGACGAACAACCATATGACAAGTTGCCAAACACTCTGACATAATCATGTCAAATTAACACAAAACAAACAGGACATTTTAGGACCTTCCAGGACATTCCAGCGGTTTCTCCACCAGCTCCTCGAGAGGCTCGAATTTATGAGGATTTGTTGAACAAACAAGCGATAAACCGTCAAGCTGACAGGATAAGGATACCAAGTGGCAGGACTCGTATGCTAATGCCTTACCCACTCGTGGCAATTAAGATTAAGTGGCACGAGGGGCTGGGACCTTGACGCCTATCGAAGGTCGACTTGTGGCATCAAATAATAGGATCGATATTTGGTAGGGTCCTAGGGCTATATTTCTTACTATAGAAGAAGCTCTTTTTTAAAGAACCCTCTTCTAGAACTCTAGTCTCTATAGGAAAAGTGCAACCGCGTTTAACTCAATTATTGGTTCGTACAAGATTTGAAAAGTTCCTTTTCAAAAGTTTCCTTTCTTTTTTTCTCCCAAAAGCAATCACTGTTGGCCCGAAAATTGTCAAAAGTTTTGGGCCCCAAACTGCTTCTGTTTTAACCATGAATATTTGGCTAAAAAGAAAAAAAAAAGAGAATGGTCTCCTCCGGTCTAAATCAAAGTGTGTGGAAAATAAAACAAAAGGCACAGGATATGCGGGTTGGATTGAATGGGGATTCAAGTTGAAGTTGGCCTGGTCAGGATTCCTGGGGTGTGGGTGTGGGTGTGTGTATGCAAATTAGTTGTGACAGCTTTCAAAAAGTTCAACACACACACATAGGACATAGTTGTCGATGGAAGCCTGGAGGAAGTGCTTCCGTCCTCATCATTTGACAGCTGACACATGGAGACGCCGCAGTGTGGGCGTGGGAGGGTGGGAGAGTGCACCAAAGTTCAAAGCATTCAAAGTTCAAAAGGGCACTTGGAAAAAATAAGGTGTTTCTTAAAAAAAATAATAGACTTTAATGTATAAACAATATCTAGAAAGATAAAAATTGAAGGAACGTTTTGGTAAAGAAACAGACTAAGTTAAAGTCGATAAATAAAAACTTTCTTTTAAAATAAGTATGTATATAAAAAATATTATTAACTTAATAACTAACATATTTTTAATTTTAATAAAAAATCATGAAATATATCTCAGTGCGTTGCTGTTTTTTTGTGACGAATCCCCAAACCCCCTTGCCTCAGAAAGAGGAACAACAGGCAGTGGAGGTGCTGGGGGTGAAAAAGGGGCAAGGAGCTTAACCCCCATGTCTATGCCCCAAAGGCAATCCAACCAGAACCAGAACCAGTACCGTTTTTGATATGGTAATGTGGCAATGGCAGTGCGTGTGTGGAATGCTCCATTATTAGATTTTTAGCCACTCGTCTGAGCTGTTCCTGCAGCTGCAACTCAAAGTCAAAGTTGGGGTTCTAGAGTTGGGGAAGTTGGGGAGCACCAAGAGTGCCATAAAGTAGTAATACTAATTAAGTTGTGTATTATGCATGTGCCCTGGGAGAGGGGAGAGTGGAGTAGATAGACGTCTCAGACCACCACCCTGTGGTGGAGATGCCTGTGGTCTTGATTCAAGCAGCCCGTTGACATCGTTTAGTCGAACAATGAATGCATCCTTTCAGTTCCTTCCCTTGGTATTCAGTGTCCTGGCAAGTGTTGGTGGTTTCGGAAACCTGAAGGATGCCATCGACTTGAAGTGGCGTCGGATACCGCAGACTAGGTCACTAGAGGGAGACTATCAAAGCTGCCTCCAAGGAGTAAGGGTTATGCTACCATGATCCTCTGAAAACTCACCTCGCCTTGGCATGACCTTTGAACTGAGAGACCTCGGCATACCGCCGACCCAGCGGCACCTCCTGGGGACTCAGCAGAGAATCGCAAAGCGATCCCACTGGCTGGGACTCCCCCACGGGCAGGCTCATGCCCTTCACCAGTCGCGCTGCATCTCCCACGCGCTGATCCTCGCCAGCTGTGCGATTGGCAAAGTTCCTCAACTGCTCCCGCAGCGAATAGTCCACGGAACTGGAGCACGAGGTGGACTCCGAGGCGGAGGAAGAGCCGGAGGAGTGGCACCTGGGCGAGGGCGACGGCGAGTGCAGATCCTGTCCGGCATTTCCGTTCTGCAGATCCTGGTAGGCGGCATGGGCGTCCTCGGAGCCGCTGCTGCTGGCCGAGCTGCTGGATCCTGAACCCGAACCGGATCCCGAGCCCGATCCCGACTGATTACTCTGACTGGTGGTGTTGGACACACAACTGTCCATGCTGGCAATGGAGTTCCTGTTGCCATTATCCCTTTTGATGCTCTCCTCGATGTCCTTCGTCTCGAGTATGATGTCGTCCACCTGCTGGGGCACAATGATCAGGGATGTCCGCTTCCTCAGAGTGTCGTCCTTGGCATTCATGTTCTGCTTGAGCGTCTTGTCCGATTTCGTGGTGTACACAATGACCTCGCCACCACCACCACCCTTGGTGGCGGCATCCTGGCAGGACATTACCACTCCCGTCGATCCTGCCGATGCGGATGCTGTTTCGTGCGACATCCTGCTGCAAAGTCTTGTCAGATTAGATTCAAAATAAAATCAGAGGTGGGGAAATGGAAAATTGATGCTACCAACACAGTAAAAGATATATCCTCTTGCCCCCAACATGTGGCAAGCTTTTTTTTATTGATTTTGACATTTAATACCCGGTCACATATCGCATATCGCATAACCATATATCGCCACTTCGAGCCACTCGAGTGCATGAATTTTAATTCCAACCCGCCAGCCGTCCAACCGTCCACGTTGTGGCTTTCAAAATGTTATTACCAATAAAAAATAAAAGGCCAAGACACGGGGGCGGTATCTGTATCTCTTTATGTAATATGACTTGGTTGGTAACACCTGCCAACTGTCTCAGATACGCGGCTACAGTGTCAGTCTTTGAGGGTCGATTGGTTTTCAAAGAAAAAATATAAACGGAAATTGAGGATTTTTTTCATAATTAAAAGAAAGATTTCCTTAAAAAAAAGTGGTAAGTTATTGCAGTTTATACCATCTGGTTTATAGAAAAAATACTAAACAAACTTATATTCATCTTCTGTATAGTTACTATGGAACCTTAGAACCAAGTCTGTGATTTTTAAGAAACTAAAACTAAAGCTGGAAATGGAGGCTTTATCTAAAGATTTCTTTATACAAAATTAGTTAGTATATATTTTTAGTATATACCATCTTGAAAATAACAAAAATACTAATCAAAAGAGTATTAAATATTCTCCTATGTGGTTTTCATGAACTTTTAACAACAATTCCGGTGCTAGGCTTTTGCCACCGCAATACAAGTCTAAACCGAGAGAGTATCCATTTCATTTTGTGGAAAATATTATTATGCATTTCTTGGCATAAGTGGGGCTCTTTTTTTTTAATAATATCCAAAACAAAAACAACAACAATAAATAAAGCCAAAAAAAACCACCCAGTCGGAAGCCAAAAGGTGACCACTCTATACTACATATATTTCTAATATCATATGGAAAATTAGAATGCCGGCTTGTATAAACAACACACAGTTTTTATTATTTTTTTTGTTTCTGAGGCGATAGGCAATTACAAACATTTGTGTACTTGGCTTTGTTTTGACATCAAAAGAAAATTGAAACGAAGCCCCAGCAAAAAGTAATAATACTAATAACAATAATAAAACATAAAAGAACACAACGCCACATACACAGCCAACCAGAGCTAAGCAGACCGATTGTATCCAAAAGTGGGTTCTACGTTTTGCGTTTCGTTGTGGTTGACTGGATTCTTAATTTATTTATTATTTTTTTATTATCTGGTTCTGTTTGGACCTCCAACTGAGGCTATGGAGTGTGTATATAGTGGCTTGATTATTTGCAAAATAAATACCATACCATACCATGTCCAGTGATTCCAAAAGATTTTTGTCGCAATTTCCGTTTATCGTTAAACCAAAAACATCAAAGGAATATGTCAAATGGGGCATAAAGTATAACGTTTGCTAGGCAACTCTACAAGGCACTGTCCGCTTGTCCGTCTGTCCGCGAATTTGTATATTAAGATGACTATAGATGACTATATTTTATAGTTCTGAGGTATACAACCTGCCTCTATAGATCCTCCGTTATAGTTCTTATAAAATATTGATTAAATCATTTATAAGACTTACTAGGCAACTCTACAAGGCACTGTCCGCTTGTCCGTCTGTCCGCGAATTTAAGTTTTAAGCCAACTACTACCTCAATTCCAAAGCTAATGATTTGAAACATTTTATACACCCTCCATTTAATCTTCACCCACATATAACTCAAAACTGTATAGATCAGATGACTATATCTCATAGTTCTGTAGCTGTAGACAGCCACTTGTAAACATGACTATAACATTAATAATTTCACCCCTGAGTTGCACCTATTTTTGTTTTTTCTTGCAAATTTCTAGCCATATAAACAGTTCGGTATTCCTCCATTTGAATGCTAAGTTGTAGTGCAATCAA